AAGAATGATTCTTGCCTGACAAACTATTTTTAGTGCGTTCTGAGAAAATTATTCACCGCCTTATTATGTGACAAATAAAGCAGTACTCTGCGCCCAGTAATGGTCTCAGAAGAGCTGTCAGGATGAAGTATGTACTCGAAATGTTAATGATGGAAAGGTTGACAAAAAAAAAAAAGCACTAGCCCAAATACATGGAAGTATTTGAAAACAACTGCTGGAGACAGAATGCTTCACATTTGCAATAGGAGGGATCGAAATAAAGTTGCAAATCGCATTCTTTAAGAGGAAAAGAAAATATGATGTATAGGTAAAATATTTTTGAGAAAAAAGAAAAAACTGAAAATTGAGTAGAAGTAATTATTATGTGGAGTGAAATAGATAGCCGTAAAACTATTTCGAAATTTGGAAAACATAGTGCTTAGACAAGCAAATATTTTCATCCCATCAAAAAGCCCACTGTTTTTCTTATTTTATGAGCCAATTCAATCTTCAAAACAACTCTTCCCGGTGGTTTAAAATTTCGAAACTTTTTCACCAATAAAAAAAATTGTGGATTAGAATTTTAGTGAAACTTCATAAATCTCACGTTACTTCTCTTTCACGAATCCAACTTTTACAGCATAAAACGTTTGCTGCAAAGCCAAAATCAAGCGCAGATCATACTTAGATTAAACCAGCAAATTTAAATGTGCAAAGTTTCCACAAAAGACTATTATGAATTTTTGAAAATAACTCTTACAAGCTCGTTAAGAGGTGAAAACTTCATTAACTCAGCTAACAATATGTTTATTTGCATGCGAAAAGTATGAATAACTGAGACTAAATAAAGAATAATTCCATTAGTTAAATCGATATTGAGAACCATTATAAATCTATGATTTAATCAATTTTGGTAATTTCATAGTATTTCAAATTTACAAAATAACAAGTTTATTTGCGCTTTCTTCCAAAATTAGGCGAATGCATATTGTTCAAAATAAGATGAATATTGGGAAAGTTAAGTGCAATTATTAACTTTTTGAAATGTGTCACAATAACTATGTAATATATGACTCCAATCTACTCAATTCTTTTAATTGCTTATAAGTGAAAATCAAAAGTTAATGATGAATAATTTGTAGATATTATTGCATATTTATCTTTCATAATATTTAAATAATTCAACATATCAAACAATTTTAAAGAAAATGTAATGTTCTATGACAAAACTAAGCGAATAATTGTGCGTTGTTTTCCGATAAACAACTTCTTTTATATTCATTTTACTCTCAACATCTCACTATCACTACACTTTCTCATCACTTTGTAACACGTGCTCACCAAATGACACGTCATTACTCATTGAGATATAAGCTATATATATACGTGTATGTGTAAATTGTAACAGAAAATTGTTCCGTTGAAATTCATTGAAATAAAATATGAAATATGTTTGAAAAATTAGGGACCAAGAAATCAGACGATAAACTTTTCAACTAATCAAATCACTGTCATTGAAAAATATAAACAGATTCTTTTCCATTTATTCTACAATCCAAATATCCATACAATTGGTATCAGTATTTTGCGTACCGCTCTGTTTGTCGGTATTTTTTACGCCGAAACCTTCACGAAATACAGCATTTTGTGTTGTTTCTGTGTCCGTATACTGTTTATCATCGGAATAATCAATGTTTACTTATACCATTTGTCGTATTGTTCTCAAAACAAGCAACTCTTTAATTCTGAACATGGCGGTTTCCATCCATTTAAGATCGGTGCATTTGACACAATTTTTGAACTGTCTTCTTTATGACATCATATCATTACAAAATGAGCAGAAAGCTGTTAACAGCTTCGATAGGATTCTGTGCCAAACGAATGCAAATTTTGCCAGAGCAGCAGACGTAGGCTAGAATTCCGGTGATTGGTGCCAATTCAAATGAAATTTTTTAGTATTCTCATTCACTGTGATAATAAGAACACTATCGTGTTGCTACAGCAATTGCAAGCAGACATATGAAGCGTGATAATTCATGTTAATTGAGGAGGATAATTGATAGCATAACATATTTTATCAGATTAGACACAATTACTGCTGCATGATCAATTATCTTTTCTAGCTGTTCTTTTTTTATATTTCTATTGTTGGTGAATCCTTATATGAATATGATAATCAAAGGAGGAATCCACCACTAATCGATCATTTAAAGGAAGTATTTGATTTCTACTTATGATTCAGTATGCTTTCTTATTCCAGAGATCTGAGAATTGATCGATTCTCTGCTGGATTCACTGACCTGATCGTTAAACTAAGCCAGCAGTATTTGCTTGTTTATTTGTGCCTTTGATAAGACATGTTGTAAAAAAATGAGTGTGAAGTGTTACTACAAGAGTGAGAGGAAAGAAGAAAGAAAATTTTAATTAGTTCATTAAAATTCGAAGCATTTGTTGTAAAGCTCGATGGATTTCTAACGGCTCAATGCGTATTGTTCATATATTTGGGACTTACAATTGTTTATGACAACGATTATGTTCGCTACTTTGATTCACAGTGGCAAATTGAAGATTGAAAGGAGAAGAAGGAGAATATCATTAAAGAGATGGAAAATGTGGAATAAATTAATTTAAGCTAATAAAAAGTTTTTAAACAGCAAATTGCAAATCAAATTTCCTCCACACACAAATGGCAAGCATTTGAAGCGATGAACAGTGATAAACATAAATATTACTGATATGATACCGCATATAATGAGAAAATAACGCTTTCTTGACTAAATGATGCTATTAGTAAGCGTATGTGTCAGTGTTAATCTCTCGTTTTGATTAGTTGAAGTCATCTGCGTTAGGTAATTAATTAGAGTGAATACCGATCACACATTCACAATCATTTCATTCGATAATTTTTCTAGAATTTCAACGACTTTGCTTAATTTCAGCCACGGTATAAGTCCTTAAGAATGATACGATTTCTGTCAAAATGATCACTTGAAAAAAGAAACTAAAATTAACTGAGATGAATTGTTCTGCCACTAAAATCAAAAAAAAAAAGGAAATGATTTTATTGCTATTAAATGAAGTACAATTATAATTGATTGATATTGATATCATAATTAGGATGACCTGTCAAGAAGCTGTTCACGTACGCTGCATGCTGCTCAATTGGATGTTGTGAAAACAGTATCTAAAAAAAAATATTTTGTGACGTGTGATAGATTGAGCAAATTTGGTATAACGTGACACTCTGATTCAAACATTCCTTAGTTGAGCTTTTTATCATATAAGTATTGAAAAGAGCTTGGTTTACCTTATTTCTAAAATATGACAGGATTCTTTTCAAGGAATTAACATCAAAATGGATGGTGTTTATTTGCTTAAATATTATTGTTAGCTATCTTCTTCGTTACAATTAAGTCACTTGTACCTCTGGTTGTCTTTGCATATGGGCCATGTATGCACTTATTAATACCGGGGAAATATCTGGAACAAAGAATTTTTCATGGAATTTATGAATTTTGAAATCAACAATAAGCTTGTGATAATATATTTAGGATAGAGAAAAAGAAAAAAATTAAAATTAGTAATAAACTTGTGATAAAATATTCGAAGTAGCAAATTTCAGAATTTCAAAGAACTCCAAATTAAAAGCTCCAAATTCTGCATTTTTCAACTTCTATTAATAACACCTGAATTCTGTGTAAGGATTAACTGTTACAAGTTGTAATCTTTCCAGAAATGGCCACATCATTATATCGGCAAAGCCTAATGTTTTTCCTAAAAAAAAAGAATCAAAGTCACAAATAGTATAATTAATTAACTTAGTCCATAAAATGTCTTACTTGCCCGCGCCCCATTATAAAAAGAATTTATTTAACCTGGGTTTCACGAACTAAATTGTCTCTTCTATGGATAACTTAGCAAAAAGTTATTAACCTCCGTAAAAATCATCCATTAACAAAGATTGGGCATTTCGGAGAGCATTGTGCAATGACTTATTGACGTTTTGTTGAACGATAGCGTTATTGGGGTGGAAAGTTTTGAACATTGTGGAAACGAGCTAAAGATATTATTGTAATAAGACATTTCGTTGAAACTTTAGATGAGAAATAAGCAAGAAAAAGTAACCGCGCTAATTTGTCAAATGAAGTTGACTTCCAACAGCTAAACACTCTTGTCTGTTATAATGAACAATGAAAAATGCGCTTCAAACATTATGATAATCTAAGGACGCAACTGATGACATCCTTTCAGCAAGAATTTTTTGATTAGCTTTCGCAAGTGGATGGCGCGGAAGAATAGCTGTTTCCGGGAATATTTCATCAAGATATTCAGCGATCACTGAAGATTCATAGATAGTCTGTAATTTATCGTTTAATAGATACAGCCCTGATAGCTCAGTAATTTTGCAAGTAACAAAGTTGAATTAAACAAAACCTGCAATTCCCAAATAAATGCATAAGATTTATGAATTTTGACTGAATTTAAAACATGTAAACTAACGACTCCATTCATTTCAAAAGCTGGCACTCGACCGAGCGGACTTTTGTTCAGGAACCATTTCGGTACATTTTCTGGATTGATGTTTTGTTATTTCCACTCTTAAACATTTCGAGAATATTTATAAACTATTGGTTAGGCACAGAATAGTATCAAGTAAGTTACTTCTGTAGTGGTCATTTCTGTGGAGTGCACAGTGCACACCTCTTTCATCTTTTAAAATTATTCATTTGCTTTGAACTTTTGAATTCAAATTAAAACCAACGACAGTCCTTTTTTGGCCAAATAAATTATAGCTCGTTCAGCATATGGGCAAAAGCGCATACTATATAAACGGATAGTTCCAGATCCGGAATGCGGTTCCGGTGAATCTATAATTAAATTTTTGAAACAAATGATTTTAAATGTATGAAAGAATGACCAATATGGTATATAATATGACAAAATTTTGCTGCTAGGTGATATCATCAGTCTGTATACTTAATTGGTAAATGTGAAAATGGACAAATCTTGATGTAGAGTAGGCGAATTAAGACGTCGGATATCAATTCTTTTCGGTGGCAATTGTAAGACAGCTTCCAGCCAGGATATGTTTTTGAGGCATCCTTTCGTAAGACCGTCCAACCAGAGGATCGTTGTTGATTTGTGCCAGGAACATTCGAGAATACCTCATAGATTGGTGACAATGGCTCATCTTCGAAAGTTTCATTAATCTATAAGTATGATTTGATGATTATTGAAACATAAGTCAACAGAAATGTACCAGAAAATGTGAGACTCTCGTGAAAGTTCTACTACTTCTCAAAATTTCCCTGCCCCACCACTTGTTTCGTTTTTTGAAGAACACGATTCAAAAATTTCGACAATTACCGATGAAGTTATTGCGAGCATTAAAGAAAATTTTTGATAATTCAACAAAACTATAACTTGCATACTTGTGCCACTGTTTCAATGCTGCAAAAAAAATGAGTAACTCAGCTGAAAAGAAAGTTACTTCGAGTTTCCGAATCCAAAACATCCTGTAAAGATATTACAGTAAAAATCTGCTTAAATGACATTGTCACATCGACTGTTCACTAAAGGAATATCTCGACGTAAGTTCACAATTGCTAATCATATTTCAAAGGCTGATTTCAAAATGTTTATTTTAAATCATAAAAATCCTTTAAACAAGTAATCTTATCTAAGATCATCATAATAATCCTGAGTAAGGGTCAAAAACTGAAGGAGAAAATCAGCTTTTGATAATTCTTCGAAGCAATAACAACCTAAAATATTTCATTATTCTTGAGAAAAATTCCTTTATGTTCTGCTTTCTTCCTCTCAGCATTATAAAAGAGAAAATTATCAATATTTGTTGAGTACCCAAATACTTGAAGCACATAAAAAAGCCCTACTGAAATGAAACACATCTATACTACTACCATTATTACTAATGCAAATGTTCTTCCGAATATTTACTTTAAAATCTTGATTTTTAGCTATTTCTTACTTATACACTTTCTCCATACATTAGTAAACATCACTTAGTCTTGTCTTGCTATTATTACTCATTTGTTTATTTTTGATGCTGACGAATGAAATAAATATCCAGATTCTGATAGTTTACTATCATTTTTATAGTTCTTAGAACCGACACATCAAATACAACAATAGCTAGTAGATGAAAATATCATTTCACGAGTAATAGAAGAGATACTGTTTCATTGGATCCTATTTTATGCAATTAGATCTCATAAAAAGAAGAAAGCTTTTGAGTCACATATGTTCACAAATGCTTTGTTGAGCGTTTTTTCTACCTTTTGGAACCACTCTAGTCTAATTTAAATTTCATTAATCTGGTTGGTTCTGGTTGGTTCTGTTGAGTAAATTAATATCAGAAGAAAATTTTGATACTATTTAATTTGATATCAAGCAAAAAACCAATTTTTTTTTGTCACAACCAATCTTTTTTGCTAAAAATCAAGAACTTTTTAGTTAAGATTGGCTGACTCAGTACATTCCAGTAATTCTAACAACTAATGTAATCCCAAATTCTTCGAGAGAAGTGATTAAATGGAAAGTATATTTTTACACATTTCTCATCCTATTAAATGACCCTCAAGGATCCCTCATCAACCTTCGTTACGACAGCCTCAAACTAATGGAGAAGATTAACCAACTTTAATTAAGTCAATTAACTTATGGTTCAACTCATGTAGCAAAAGGTAAACTATCAAGGCCTTCACTTCCAACTAATATATGTTTACTTCAAATGTTTCACGTATGTATATGTCTTCCAGTCTCAAAAAGATTCTATGAGAATATTCTCCTGCAGTTGCTTGACCATTTTTACCAACAAACCCATCATATTGATCTCTCTCTCACTTAGCACAAAACAATGGCCAAGAGCCACCTAAAGCAGTTTTCAATCGCAAAAATTCCTCATCGCTAAAAGTTGGATGCCTAATGTAAGTAAGTTTTCTCGTCGCTAGTATTATTGCCGAATCGCTTCAGAAAGTTCTTCAGCAACTTCATAGAACTCATCTGGGCATTGGCAGAGTGAACAGTTGGTATCACTGATTCGGAATGGATGGAGATATTGGAAAACTACTTCGCAAATGTCATCAATTATTCAAAAAGGTGTTGCAAATTTCGTTGAAAACCTTCAATCCTTTCTTCTATTAGTGTACCACCTCACTTGAGCATATAAGTAAGCATATAAGTAAGTATCAGGCACGCTTGGCTTAAACTATTCTTTAATCGTCCACTTCACATTAATCTCACCTGTTTCGTTCACAATCAGCCAAATTTGACCCCAGTAACCATATCATGAAGAATACCTACAATGGAGTATAATCTCAACACTTCCAGCATTATCAGCACATTTGTTTCGGAACGAAAAGTCTTCCCGATCACCAGTTCAAATGTGATAACAATCAAGACAAATTTTTAATAAGATATGCCATTTCTCGTTTCGGGGATCTGTCCACTAACTGATCTGCCATGACTTTCCTTTTCAAATAATCGTGATAGGTCTAACACCATCTTATACTTCACTTTATTGTTCTACACGTTTCAAAGGACCGTCATCAAGTTTTCCATTTGATTCATCCCTTTATTTTTTCCTCTATAATGACCAAAAGTTTTGCTCTAGGCATGCATATAAACTTTTCACACTTCCCTTTCAGAATTTACGCTATACATGGAGATATTTACGTGGTGTCGATAAACTCCGAAAATCATAATGCAAATTTTCTGTCGGATTACCGGAATTGAAGCTACGTTCAAACAAAATTTTCACAATATCCAACAAACGGAGTAACGAAATCTTGTAAGCAAAATTAAAGCAATGAGGAAGATATAAGCTAACAATGGAGAGCGTAAAACAAAAACGTCTCAGTACCTACACAATACAGTGCCAAAGGTCAGCCACACCTCCATGATAACCCCGATGGAGCTTACAAAGCTCTTCTCTAATCCTTATATATATGAAAAAATCCCGAAAGAGTTCAGGTTTTACAGTCGAACAGACGATACATCCTCTTCGCTTATTCTCCACGACTGAACCACAAACAACGACATCTTGGCATATCCACCACTACTGGAAAATAAACTACGATATTCTTTCTATTCGCTAAATGTATTTCCCGTAACATATCCTCAATTCAACGACCTATCAACTAACCGACAGTCAAATTATTATCGAAGGCAACGACAAAGAATTTATTAGTTGATCATATTGCTTGCTTTTTGCATAAATCATCACTGTTCATCAATTCATCGTGTAATATATACATATATATTTTACTACCCCTTTTCGTTTGTTAATAATATTGTGAGAATAATATTACTATCCCGAACTAAATACTATATCGCTG